CATTGCTACCTTCATTCCACTAATGATGCTTATGGGTGCCAACTCCAGGTTGTGAAATTCCTGGAGATTCAGGGGTGGAGCCTGAGAAGGGTGGGGTTCGGGGATGGGAGAGACCTTGGAAGGGTATAATGCTATTGACTCCACCCTCCAAAGCAGCTATTTTCTCCAGGGAAACTGATCCCTATCATAATTCTGGGAGATCTTTGAGCCTCACCTGGAGGTTGGCAACCCAATACCCCAACCCTTAGGATTCTCCCCCCACACACCCGGGAACTCTTTTCTCTAGGTCCTTTTTGCAAATCTAAGGGGAGGGTCCTCATAGTAGTGGCATCATCTACACATCGGGGGCACCTGGGGGCAGGGAGATTTTCCTGCAAACGTGGGGCAATGCCCAGGTGTGCAGAAAAATCTGAAAACTGTAAAAAAATATAGGGGGGATAATTAAATCCCCCCAAAAGTAAAAGAGCATCCCCTGCGCATGTGCAGGGAATGCTCTTAGAACGGCTTCGCTGCTGCCACCACCAGAAAGGGGGAGGGGGAGAAGGCTTGGCCAGCCGGCAGCTGTAAGCCGCTCAGCCCTCGCCGCTGCCGGGGGGGGGGGAGAAAGTTTGGCAGGCCGGCGAGGCCTTGCCGTCATAGGGGGAGGGAGAAAGTTTGACGGGTTGGCGAGGACTCGCCACCGCTGCGGGGGGGAGGGAGAAAGTTCGGTGGGCCGGCAAGGCCTCGCCGTCGCCACTGCCACCACTGCGGAGGGGGGAGGGAGAAAGCTTGGCGGGCTGGCGAGGCCTCGCTGCCACTGCCTCCGGGTGGGGAGAGAGAGGGAGAAAGTTCGGTGGGCCGGCAAGGCCTCGCCACCAGCTTGGAGAGGCGTGGGCCTCACTGTCGGTGCGGGGGACAGGGGGCAGGGGAGAAGGCTCACCTGTGGATGCTTCCTTCTCCTCCTGTGGAGCTTCTCCTCCCCCCACCCCCGCAAGTATCGCGGGTCCCCCTTCTTGTGTATTTATAATGTGCTCCTCAGTTAACACCTTCATTGCTGACCATTATGAGCTATTTCTATTAGCACAGTTTTAGTTGACTTCTTTTTTCCCCTCCATACTTAGGTTTGCTGTGATAAGCTCTCTGCTACTAGTTCTTTTATATGCTAGCCAAGTCATAAATTATACGTTTTATGTTGTTAAAGTGATAAAATAAGTTTAGGGTTAATAAGAATGCCACCATAGCATATGTTTTAATTTTTCTCCAAAGTAGCTGTGGCTTTTCTTTTTAAAAATGGAAAGAAAAAATAGGGCTCCCCCATGGCTTCAGAATCTCTGAAAGCTGCCATCTCTTCTGTATACACCTAAGAACTGTCAGCTTGAAGGATTTAGCTATTGGGGAAGTGTGTGGTAAGTTCCGCAGCCCGGTGCCATCTCATCTGCCTAATATTACATCATTCCTGAGAAGTGTTTTTTTTTCCTCTTTAATTTCAATGGGTGTGGGAGAGCCAGTCTACGTACACTTCAGTTCTTCCACGTCATTTTCAAATGAACATCGTAGCCATTGTCATTAGGTGGGTGAAGTCCACATGGCTATCCACATGTGCATGGATGCTTACATTGGCTTCAGTATAACAATCTAGAATTTAACCTGTCTGGATCAAAAGAAAATATAAAAGGATGGAGTTATGAGGGAACTGTTTAACTGAGTATCTCTCTAACCAATATGGCACCACTTAAAAAAGGAATTGTTGATCTGGTGCTCAAACACTTGAAAAACTGAGAGTAAAGCCTGTTTTAATCCATGCCACTTAACTCTTTTGCCATTTCTAACAGTCATCTCAGGACTCCCCCAAAGCATATGTTCTCATTCAGCTGTGCTTTGTCCAAGAATGTGGAGGTGGAATTAGGTGGATGGAAATGTAAGGCCATTGTTCAGTTTTCCTGTGGAATCCCTTCAGTTTGGAAACTTGTAACTGTTGCTTGCTTTTGAGGGCAGGGTAGTGAATTCCATTCAAACACTCCCAATGTCCCTTGGAAAACCGCCAGAGCAGCTCTACTGAGGGGACTGTGAATTCCCTGGCTTCAGCCAGTTCCATAAGAGGGTGTAATCACAGCCTTGGTATTTTGTTTCTTCAGCTTACAAATGGAGACCCTGTTATTAACCTGCCTCCCAATGGTGAGGCTAAAATTCCATCCTGCACAGGAAAGCCTTTGGAAACCCTCGGTTAGGAAGCATTTTGCTGAAGTGCCAACAGAGTGGAGTTGCTACTGTGTTAGCAAGCCAAAAATTCACATAAGAGCTTGACCTCACATTCCTTCTGCATCTGCACCCAGAGTTCTCTGTGACTTGAGAAGCTGTTGCATAGCCATATCAGAGGACAGGGTGCTTTTACCTCTGGGTTGTTGAATTCTGCATGCACGTATTGTCCTTCATTGAAGTGGAATAACAATACAGGAACAAAAACCTATGTAAGGAAAAGAAAGCCCCAATACAGTAGCATGCTGGATTTTATTTTTTATTTTTTTAAGCTACTGTTACTATTTTAAAAGCAGTTTACATTGAACCCTTCTTCTGGCAAGATCAGTTAGGCTGGTGACCATAGTTACATTATCTGGTAGGTATGTGAGAACAATTTGAAGCTGTGCCCAGAGCAACCACCCACTGAGAGAGCTGGTTGCAGGATGGGTAAGGGGAAAAACCCACCTCTCTGTTCTGTTGTTTAAATGGACCTTCTTCCTGTTCTCGCCTCAAGCTTTAAACTGGGAAAGATGCATCAAGGTCTTGCACAGATATTTGCGCAAACTTTTTAAAATCAGTCCTTTCTATAACTGCATATCTGTATGTATCTAATTTGCTGTTTCACAATCAGGATTTCAAATTATGCTTGCTAAATTCCGCTTATAATTAGAGGATTCCACTTAGGTGTATTTAGGACTGCTTTTCTCTCCACTCAAGACTCAAAGCAATTTTATTAGAAAGCCAGAAAAATATAATGTAGACAAAGCAAGAAAAAAAAATATACAGGACAGCTTTTGAATTGGTCTTGGATCCATTTTGCTGACTTACAGACCAAGAGCTACACCTAGGCTAAACATCTGCTACAGACAAGGAACACAAGCACATGGAGATCTCATACACTTGGCACAAAGCTCCTGCCAGAAGAGCCTCTAGCCACAACCAGGCTAAATACCTAGCGTTGCCAGCTTTGAATTGGGAAACATCCAGGGATGGCACCCCTGCACTCACCCCCCAAGAGGTTAAAGACAGGGGACCCCTTTCATCCTCGGGGAATGTAATGGGCCACCCTGGTGTGAAGAGCAGCCTTGGGAACGTCTTCAGGAGAGTGAGACATCCACAGCAGAACTCGTCAACCCAGCATCCGTCCCAAACAAGGCTGGGCAAGCCTCCTGAGCACCGGTAGTGACAGGGATGCTTGGAAAACCAGCCACCTTGCCAAAAGACAGAAGAGAAGTGGGGGAAGGAAGAAGGTGCTGGCGGAGAAGCCAGAAACCTGCAAGATGACAAGGCAAACTTGGGGGGGGGAGCACCACCCAAAGTTGGCAGTGAAGCAAAGGTTGATTGTGGCAGGGGGAGGGGCGAGGCAGATCGTGTCCCAAATTATGAGGAGAGTGCCAGTCAGGCAGGCTCTGACTGGAAATCCCTGGAGATCTTGGGAGTAGAGACTGAGGAGGGTGGGGGTGGGGGAGGGCTTCAATGGGTTATAATGCCATAGTGCTGCTTCGTGGAACGACCGGCCTAGGACTGGGCGACTGGAGGGCAGCGAGGCGACCGACAGCTCCAGCACTCCAGGGGCCCCACGTCACTGCGCCACTCTGCTGCCTCCCCGCCATCCCTCACCCTTCCCACTCTGTGCTGCCTTTCCCTTCGCCGCCAGGCAACTCTTCCCTGGCAAACCCGCCAGGGCAGTGGCAGCAGCACTAAAAGTGGCCGTGGAAGGGGCGCCTTTTCTGAGAGAGCTTCTCTGTGCCTCCTGATGTCTGCATCCCTAGGCAGCTGCCAAGGTTAGCCTAGTGGTAGAGCCGGCCCTGTGCACTGTTGTGTTTTAGAATGGGGGCGTTTTCACACAACGTGCGTAAAACCAGATTCATTTTAGACCATTCCTTCTACAGGTTGCAGTATGTACACACAAAACATGTACATCTTGACTGTTACTAATTATTGTTTACTTATCCTCCTGCACTTTTATTTTACAAGACATTTTTTTAAAATCCCAACTGTAGAAAGGTGTTCAAATAGTAATATGATCTGTAAAGTCCTTCCATTTACAGTTCAGATGCTCTTAACAGCAACCTACCAGAAGAATGGATTGAGAATTTAGGTATTTATGTGGTTCTTGGAATGGAGATACAATGGTTTTGATGTGTGTACGGGGGGGGGGGGGGCTAAGAATGTTGCTTCAGTGCTTGTTACCATACCCTTGGAAAATGAAATATAACAGAATCTTAGTGTCACTTCATACCAGCCATTCTCGCCTTGAGTAACTTAAACAGTGTAACTTAAAACCTAGATACACCACAGCACAATAATACTATCAGCCTTTGGCTTTTGCCCTCTGGTTCATCTCTCTGGCCACATCCAGGCTTAAATACCTGTAATGGAGAGCAAAACAAATCAGTCTAGATCCCTTGAAACACAAGTGATACTTCCTGGGCTCTTTTGAAGAACCTCTTACTCCAAGGAAGTAGAAGAAAGTGAGGATTGGCTCTGTGCTTTGGGGTAGAAACAGGCGGGCACCATGAAGTGCCCTGGTGATCAGCCTGCATCTTCTGCAGCTGACAGAGATGTTCCCGAGATCCAGCTGCCTTGCTTTTCCCCATCCAGCATTTTCACCACATCCAGAATTTGGCAAGCATAGATCCAATCAAAGCTTATATTCTTCTGGTAGATGCCTTTGGTCTTTGGTACTAAATAAACCATAACTGATGGGAATAGCTGAGTTTAAGGACTGGTAGTTTAAAATGTCATTTAAATTTTCTAATTTCCTTTTCTCCACCTTTCAGGGTTGTGGTGCCTTTCATAAAGTCCTGCCTCATGGTCTTGCCTTCGGTGCAGGCTGTATGGAAGAGTGCGACGGAAGTTTTTGTCGCCCCGCTTTTTCACAGCATAGGAAAGTGCTGTGCAGCAGTCAACATACGCCTTGACCAAGAGTGAACATCTGGGATTCAATAACACACTAGTCTTCAGTGATGTTATACCTCCTTGCAGATAGCATGGATGTGCTTAACCATTCATTCCAAAACTACTACTGCTTAAATGGCTTGACTTTCCTTTCTAGTGGGCTGCACATTTTCTGGAAATAAATCTTGCTGGGGAGGGAAAGAAGAGATGGATCATTAGTCCATTTTATTGCTAACTGAAGAAAACTGGGACATGTTGGCAATACTTTATTTTAACGGTACTTTCATAGTCTGGTCCTCATCAATGTTTTAAGGGGAGCTTTCATGTCTACCATATCATGGTCTATGACCATGACCATCCTTCACCATGGAATATTTTGCTGCTCTGAATCCTAATTACGGGCTAACTCCAAGCATTGTAGTAACTAAATCCCTAGACATTGTCTTACCAGGATTGGACACAGCCTATTATTTCAGTGTTACACTCTACAACTGAACCTCAGAATTACAAATACCTCCAGAGTATATATCTTTACGCCTTGAATACTTCCTCCTTCTGAATCCTGACGTTCAAACCACCCAGCTCCCTAACCAGCTGGCTCACGTACAACCTATCAGCTGCTTGCAAAACCCATCAGCACTCCTGTGCTCCAGCAACTCTGCTTTCCCAAATCCAGTAAAAACTCTCAAAGAACACTTGTCAGGGCCAGATGGGACTACAAGCAGCTGCATCTTGGAAACAGGCTTGGAATGGGGGGAACCTGGAGAGCAGCAAGAGAAGTTAATTCCCTATCAACCAGGCAGGGACAGTGTGCCAGGTTCTTAACGTTTACACCAAGCCTGACCCCTCCAGAAGCTCACTGGAGCCAGTGTTGCACATCCCTCTTCCTTTCACTGCTTGAAAGGGGCTCCAGGATGTGTACACATTCCCTGAGCTGGATTCCAAACTCCTGCCAATAGATTCCTAATTCAAGTACTAGAATCCCTGATGCCAGCATGGAGCTTCTTTTATTCCAGTGAATTAGAAAGCCTTGTGGGTACTTCTGCATGTGGCTCAGACTGGTATGTAGGGTTCGGGATTAGGCTGACAAAGCGCTATCCTTAGGTCCCCTCCTTGCCTCATTTGTATTTATGATTATTTTCCTCATTATTGTATAGCTCTGAGGGTTCTATGAGGTTCCACTGTAGGAAATGTAGACGCTGTTTGGGCTCCAAAGAAACTTGCATACAAGTTTATACCAAACTGTGGAGTTTATACCAAACTGTGGAGAAAGAGAATCACATCCTCCTGACTCTTGCTTACTACATGCTCAAAAAGCAAAACAGGCTTCTCCAAAATGTGCTTAAAAGAAAAAGATGCTGATAAAAGTGTTGGTTTGGGGCAGGTAGTAAATTTTTTTGCTTTATTTAATGAAACTTTTGATTTTGCTGTATATATTGTTTGTATGTAAATGATATTGTAATGGGTTTCACTGATGCTTTATTTTTACATGCTCTGTATTCTTGCCCAGCTTCAGGTATTTACTCTAGATAGCCTCTGCTCTGATGAACTTATGCTGTGTACAGAACTGTCCCATGCATGTTTTAGGCTTCTACACACAGAAAACATGGCAGAGCTACTTAGTTGTATTCTGCACCCAGTACCTTATACAGAGTCCCATTCTGCTGAGCACCTGAGAATCCCAGCTAGAGAGGGAACGTGCCTCCAGACATGCATGATCTGGCATGTGGAAATGGGTATAGCTCAAAAGGGCTGTCCCTCTCATCACAACTGGATGTGGATCCCAGTTATCCATCTGTGGCTGGTGTGCTTTTCCTTGTGCATCTTCTACGCACTAAGGTATGGGCATGCATCACAGTGGAGTTCATGAACATCTCTGCAGTGATGTCAATTGGTTTGAGGTTCTGTTGTCTAGATAATCAACAAATGTTTTGAAGTATTGCCATGCAATTCAAAATGTACCAAATATTTTGTAGAATTCCATCTTTACTATCCAAGTACTATAAATCAAACTATGCAAAAGATTCCGAAATAAACATTTTCAAAAAATGTTTTTATTAAAACTGGTCTGTAGTATATTCAAGATTTCGTGCCTTTGTACCTTATGAACAACACTTTAATAATTTACATAATAAATATTTTACTGACACTGTAACATGGTACAATGTTATTTATTTAGGAATTTTGCTTAGAAATCTTTTGTGTTCTCAAATTGAGAAACTTTCATTGTTCCAAAACCTAATGAATGCGGATTTTATATGCATTTAATACAGTTGAAATTTACCTGTGCATGTCATGAAATGTGAACATTTACGCTAATTTTGAAATAGACCATTGTGCTGCTGTTTTAAGAGAATCGAGTATGCATGTAAAATATTTACACTGTGGGGCAATACACTTTTTCCAAAGTGGGATCATGTGAACAATATCTAAATACTTATTTTTTCCTATTTATGTAAGGAAAGCAGCATGATTCACTAAACTGTTTCTGGTTCTGCATATACATTTTGCCAAGTATCTTGTGAAACAGAACTCTCAAAAAGTCTTGTAGAAATGAGTAAGACAACGCAACATAAAACAGTGGGCTAAAAATCTTGACAGTATAAGAGAAAATGAGGTGCTAAAGGTAGGGGCATTTTGTTCATGTAATTAAATAATTGAGAATTACCCCTCAAGCCAAAGTAACACTGCAGTTCTTTATTTAGCTGCAGGACTCATTTAAATTAGCAAATTAAAGCAGTGCATCTTAATAAACATACATATTTTTACTAGGCCAGCATGTGATAAAGCATCCCTTATCTTTAGGATATGAGAAACAGAAGTACCAAGACATTATACCAAGTTGTTCAAGTTAACAGCTTCCTGGATGTATTCTGACTTTAATGCCCTCGAGGGTAGTAGTACAATAGGGAGTACTGAAGGAATGGAATTAGACACAAATAACCATCTTAAATTATATGACTTATGGAAATCCTTTTGAAGAAAGCAGTTCCAAGTTGAAAAAGTCAGACCCCTTCCCCTTACAGCACGGGATCACACACATTTGTAAGACTCCAAGAAATAAATTTCTTGGGTGGGTGGACTCTCTCCCCTACGTGTAGGGACAAAACTTCTGTTAGTTAAAAAAACATAGCAATGTGGAAAAAATAACTTTCCTGAAAAAATAGTATGAGGTCAAATATGGATTTGATCATTTATGCCAATAACCATGCTTTATTTTAACAAGCTTTTGAAAGTTAACATGAATGTATTTGACCTTTAACTTCAAAATCACTGTCTCACACTTCCACCATTTCTACCAGAGCAGAATGCATGGCTTTCCTCTCCACTTTATCTTCACAACAGCCTTATGAGGCAGTTTTGGCTGAAGGAAATGACTGGCCTAAGTTGACTTCATTGAGTGGGATTTTGAACTTGAGTCTTCGTAGTACTAGCCTAACACACTGGCCACTACATCCCATTTCTTCTCTATCTAAAATAATCTGCGCACTGAATTCTCGCCTGGTGCCATCATGGTTATATGGTTCCAAAGAACTGTGACTCTTTGTCCAGTTCTGTAGTCTTCACAGAGCCACAGGGCAAAAGGGACATCCTCATGGTTATAGCAAATAAGACAGGACAATTCATGCTCTTAGGAGTGCCCAAATATATTACTATCATCCCCTTTCAAGGGCACTTTAACATACCTAATGAATTTACCTTCAGTAAATAAACCATTGAGGGGAGGAACTACACTGTGGAATAAGGGGACTAGTGGCTGGCTCACTGGTGCTCATATTGATATATTGATGTGAGCAGTGTATCACTGGAAAAGTGAACGGACATTATGTTCCTTTCCCTTCTATGAACAGGGAAACTACGTGAGTTGTGGTTTTTCTGTTCAGAGAAGATGATGTGGTCTCAGGTGAATCTGTTCTTCCAATGTTACATGATTTTCAAAAGTGTCCATGTTGGCTGGATTGCCAGTTTCTTATATGAATACAATTACAGTGGCACTGCAGAAAACTGTGCTAATGCCTAGATCTTGAGGATATGTTTTGTATAAACAAGTAGTTTCAAATGTAGGTGTCGTTATATAATTTACTCCAGCTTTCCTCTTTGAGTCTAAGCAGCGCACCAGGCACTACAGTTCTTCATACTCTGCTCTGGAGTTCATCTCCCTGAATGTATAAACTCTGCCAGCCCTGCACATTCCTTATACTGTTTTTTACAATCCTGTTTTTAACAATCTTGCACAGAATTTATCCCCTGTTCTGGATCACATCTGAATTCTAAGTAAGGGGGTAGCCCCACTTTTACCTCACAATAAGGCCCACCTCCGAGATCCATTTAAAATTTAAAATCAAGTGTGTGTTCTAGCCCCCAACCTAAATTATTTACTCCACGTTTGAAGAGGCCCACTGTGATTATGAGAAGCCATAGGAACTGCTGCTTATGGGTAAATTCACACAACATACGTTGCTGAACATTTGCAACTGTCGTATGGTAAAATTCTCCTTTACGCTTTCCAAGATGGAACAAATATGTAAATCGCCGTGGGGTGAAGAGTACACCCCAGTAGTGTTACCATCTTATAGACTAATACACATACATCCTGACACACTGCTGCTTGGTGAATGACCATCTGTAAATCACCACTGCACACTGACACAAAATAATCCTTAATGAATTTGAAGCATCACAACAGGATACAGAAAAGGAGGCATTTCTAAAGAATGGAATTCACTGGGCCTAAGAAAATGGGGAAACTGCCATGCTTGATCAGACCAATCTAGTCAAGTATCCTTTTTCCACTGAAGAAGGAGTGAAGTTCCTATAAAAAGTCATTACTAAAATACTGGAAACTGCTGAGATGGACAACTTGACTATTAAGAAGAAATAACAAAGAAGACTTTTAGAACACATGGGCAAGGTTCTATCAATGGTTAGAAGACAATAAAGTGTAATTTTCTGGATTTCTAACCATAATAAAAATAACCAAGAAACACAGACTTAATTATTAATGGCTCCAGTCACACGAGCGGGATAATCTGCAGGGGACGGGAGGCTTTTTGAGCAGGAGCAAAAGGACGCGTGGTAGTGCAATCACACCTTCCCCCGAGGCTCCGTGCCCAAGCCTCTGGCAGCCGATCACACCACGCGAGGCAACACAGCAGCAAGGCGTTTGTGTGCATGCGTGGAACGCCAATGGGTGCTGGCTGCAACAGGCTACCACCGCTTCCTGATCAGATGCCCGCACGCGCTGCACATTAACGGGAAACCAGTACATGGTTCCCGGTAGCTTTTAAATCCGCGTCTTCGGGCCGAAGCTGCGGGTTAGAGACAGGAGTGCGACATTTCCCAGATGTTCAGGTATGATCACGCAGCTTTAATCCACAGGCAAGCCATCCCTCCCGCGGGGCAAATTCGCCATGTGAATGGGGCCAATAAAAGGTAAATAGTATATTTATGAGGTGAAAAACTAATAAGACTTTTAAATTAGAATATGAGGTCAAAGACATAGAAAAGTATAATTGTATTCCCCTATATGTGTGTTTTATGTTTGTTTATTGTGTGTCTTACATATATAAAATAAAAAGTATATATAAAAAAGTATCCTGTTTCCAAAAGTGGCCAACCAGATACCCCCCTGCAGAAGCCCATAAGCAGCAGCAAAGCAGCTAAAGTTCCCCTTCTTGTCCCCAGTAACTGTCATTCAGAAGTACACCGCCTTTGAACAGGGAGGTTCCATTTAGCATCCTGGTTTAATAACCATTGGCAGACCTGTCCTCTGTGCATTTGTCTAATCCCCTTCTAAAGCCAACTAAACCAGTGGTAGCCTTGCCATTTGCCTGCTGACAGCCGGCAATCCCTGCCCTGCCCTCAATCCCCCACCTTCAATGATAGGAGTAGCAGCAGAAAAAATGAGGGGAATAGTGTTGATATTGACGCTTTAGGCAGTTCCCCAGTCTCTGTGGGAAAGACTACAGACGTTGGAGGTTGCCCCAAAGTAGCAGGTCACCCAGAAGTACAGAGACCAGGTCTCCTGCTTCAATGGGAAACCTCCATCTCTCCTTGTTCATTGCCCGCCAGCCCACTGAGGGCCAGTGGAAGGAAATTTTATGGGGCTGCATTGGCGGTATATCACTTCCAGAGGAGACCTGAATGTGACTTTATGTCACTGGTGTGACGTTGGTGTAATGTTCTAGGATTTGGGCAGCAATGTGACATGATATCAGAGATATGACATTACTTCCAGATATTCACTGGAAATGACATTATGCCACCTGCATGGCACCTTTTCCCCAGCCCTGCACCCCTTCCTGCTGGCAAGCCTACCTGGAAGTGACATCATATCCTCCAGACCTAGGGTTGCCAGCCTCCAGGGAGTGGCTGGCGACCAGTGTTCCCTCTAAGCTGAGTTGGTGCAAGCTAGCTCACAGTTTTTTAGCCGCCGGCTCACACATTTTTGTCTGAGCTCAGGAAGGATGGCTCCGGAGCAGACTAATTTGTGCAGTAGCCAAAATGGCTCGCTCACAACTTTAATGTTGGTAGCTCACAAAGCAGACTTTTTGCTCACAAGACTCCACAGCTTAGAGGGAGCATTGCTGGCAACCACCCACTATTACCACTGATCTCCAGATGACAGAGATCAGTTCACCTGCAGAAAACGGCCGCTTTGGAAGGCAGACTCTATGGCATTATAACCCACTGAAGTCCTTCCCCTCCCCAAACCCCACCCTCCTCAGGCTCCACCCCCAAAATATTCAGGTATTTCCCAACCCAGAGCTGGCAACCCAATCCAAATCTCCACCTGTAACTGACGCCCATCCCCTGAAACTCCATTATCCCCAGTCACCACCTCCAAATTTTTAGGTACCGTACATGGCAAGCAAATCTAAAGTGGCCACAAAGATGCAATCTTGGCTTCCCTTCACCTCAGTGAAGCCTGGGGACGGTTCGCAGGATGCAGCACCTTTGTGTCGTCAGTTCAGAAAAAAAATAGTTCAGTTCAGCAGCAGTTCAGAAACAACTGCCATGGTCATAGCAGGATGCTTAGTTTGCACCTCCTCCTTAGTTTGCACGATTAGATGCCGGGGAGGAAAAGACGAGGGGGAGGCTGCCAAACTGCGCATGTGTGAGCATGCGCAGTTCGGCCGGGAATGCGCCAGTGACAAGACGCGCTGGCGATCCCACGGCCAGCCGTGATGCGGACCTACCGGATTCATGTTTGCTGCGGGGCTGTCGGGGGAAGGGCTGGATCGGGAACGGGCCCGCAACACTTCCCAGATGTTGCGGTGGGATCGCGCCCGTTTGCTGTGCCCCCGATCTGGCCCACTCCCGACCCAAAACCCCTCGTGAGAACAGGGCCATAGTTTAATTACCCCCAGCACTCGGGTTGCCAGCCTTTAGGTGGGGCCTGGAGATCTCCTGCTTTTACAACTGGTCTCCAGCTGACAGAAATCAGCTCTCCTGGAGAAAATGGCTGCTTTGAAGGGTAGACTCTATGGCATTGTACCATGCTAAGGCCCCTCCCCTCCCCTGGACCCACCCCCAAAGTCTCCAGGTATTTTCCAACCCAGACCTGGCAACCCTATCCAGCACCCCTTGGCAGCCATTTTGTGACTGGCTTCATGCCTGATGTCAGCCATTTTACAGTTACCCCTATTCCTCATTCTCTACATTTCCAGAAGTGCCTGCAGGCTCAACAAGATTAGGAAGGTCTGCCCTCAACTCTATCCCTGTTTCATCCTTCCATTGTCTGGGACAATCCTAGCAACCACACCCTGAATTCCAGGCTTCCAACATGATCAGTCAGAGAGTTTGTGGCTGATTCAGACTTGGTTTTATCTCCATCAACAGCTCTTAGAATGTACGTGCAAGGCCAAGAACTGTTGCTGATTTTACTGTCACTACCAACAGTCCTGCCAGAGGTACTTAATATTGGAAATGCTGTCTTGTTTGTCTCAAAAGTTCTTTCTAACTAACGATATTAAGGACAAACATGCTGTAAAACGTGGAGCAAATGAAATAAAAACGAGGGCCCAGCTGTAAAATATATTTGCATACGTTTGGAAACGAGGCTGCTTGAGAAGTCGCCTTCTTGCCACCCAGAGACAAATCTAAGTTTCCACAACATTTATTTTGGAGGCAGAAGCCACTGTGTGAGGCGG